ACCCAAACGATATCGATAAAATCCCCTGTATGTAGTTACAACCAATTCATAAAACTTCCCAACTTCCACTCCAGCAAAATCATAAATTTCTTCACCAACAACCTTATTCTCATTTGTGTCAAATGGAAGAAACTCAAAGTAGGCGGCAGTTGGAAGCATAACATACTTAGTTTTCTCCGGGGGCTGCTTACTATCCAAATTAAGACCGATACTGCACTCAGAAGCAAAGTAATCTCCTCCTAACACGGGTACCTCCCCTGCATAGAACTTAAGTTTTGAATAATACTGCATCATGCTTCCGGTTGTAACACACTTAACATACCGAACATTAGGCCACAATTTACTCACAATCCCTTTCCAATTCTTGTTTTCAAAAACCAGACGAAGCCTCTTGGACAAACTCGGTTGTGATCCACCAAGGACCTCATTGACAGAATCTCTCATTGCAACATCATCAACCTCCAAACTCAAAATCCCATGTTCAATGTCATTGCATAACTGTTCCCACCTGGATTCCAATAGGCTAAATGCTCTAGTCAACCCTACGGCATAAGCTGCTTGAATCCCATCTATCAAATCACAGTTCCTCAGAGAACAAAGAAGATGGGAGTACATTTGTTGCTCGATATTTGATCCCAAAAAAACCTCCCTCGGACTAGTGCTACGTAAATTCTGGAGCACAGCATTAGTATTGAAATGAAAAGGGTAAGAAGAAGCAGCCATGGCCTTGAAACCTCCCTTTGTAGTTGAAACATTCCCAGCATAGAGAAAGGATAGTACCTTATTCACTTCACACCTTAGAGGAAAGGACCTAGTTTTTCACCCAAACAAATTAAAAAAAGAAAAAGACAAATATCACCCATGTTCATATAATAAATCAAAATCCCATATTATATTTTGAAGACAAGAAAAGTTTGCATACTAAATCATAACTTGCAAATAGGAACCTTTTTTCCCAAATATAGAGATTAATTAAGTTATATATACAGGAGAAAGTACTTCTAAGAAAAGAAATAGCAGTTTTCTTTACAACATAAGTATAAATTGTTCTTAAAAATAATCTTAACTATCCAAATCTCTTTTTTTTCTCTCCGAAGATTCGCTAATCTCCGAATCTGCTCCCTTCCCATTTTCCTATCCAAAAATTCTCAAATCTTCACCAATTTATATTTCTTTTTCTTTCCAGTTTTTTAGTTCTTTCCAAGAAGAAATCGCCATAAAGAGGTAACTATTAGCCGCACCAGCAATCTGAATGAACTAGCAGTTCCACATATTTGATTGTTTCATTTTAAATCTCTATCAAAAAGCAATAGAAACAAATTACCAATCCATCTAACATCTAATAATTTTGCACCTTAAAGATTTAGACTTTTACACAATTATAGAGATTCCTCATATTATTTCAAATAATAATTATTGTTATTGCAAAGAAAAATACTGCCCTCAGAAATACTCCCCAAAGGAGCAATATTTACACATATACATATATATATATATATATATATATGTATAGAATATTATTTGCAACATGCATGAAGCAAGACCCTCCATCAAAGACAAGAAGAGAAATAGATAAAAAAAATTAAGGACATGGTTACCTTCTAAGAATTGCAGAAGCTCCCTGGTGTGCAATAAAAGAGGCAGCTTTTGAGAGTGATGAATCAAAGTAAGGCACCAATTTGGGCTTCATATTTACAGAATTCGTACCAGAGCTAATTAATTAAAAAAAAGCAACATTAATTTCAACAATTAACAAAACTTGACCCTTTAAATTAACAAATTCACAAAAAAGCCCCAAATTTTTTGATAAATAACACAAAACCTCACTAAAGATCAAGCCTTTCTTTTCTACATACCTGTAAAAGAAACAAACAAGAGGGTCAACGGACAGCAGAGGCTGTTCATCGAGTTGACCGCCGTCGGCCATTTGATTGATGTAATCGGCGTAATCGTCATAGCAAGACAACGGCACGGTACGCTTGAAAGCAGCCGCGTCGTCGTCGGCCGGCGATAGATAGCGCCGGAGGTAACGTACGCCGCATTGACGGCGGAGGATCGACCTGAGGGTCTCGTCCTGATGATGGATGGCGTTTTGGGTTGACTCCTCGATCTTCAGCAGCAACTCCTCGTCGGTCAACATCTCCGGATTTTGCGGGACAAGGAGATTTCTTTGAGGCTGTTGGTTGATGTTCTTTTCATTTTCAGACAACGAAGTAAAAAACCTTTGGCGGCTACCTGCCCATTGAATTTTTTGTCCGGTTTTTCTGTTTCCCGAACCGGCGGCGCGTACGGACCACCCGCCAAATTTTCTTTTTAAATATTCTTTTAGATTTTTTTTTTAAAGAAAATTAATGTGTATCCTAATTTTTTAAAAAAATTAATTTATATACAGTCTTATACTATAAATTTAAGCTTATATATATATAATTAAAAAATTTTAATTAATTTTCTTAACTAAAATTTATATATTTTATTAATTAAATATTAATTACTTATTAATAATAATATAATTTAATAATAATACGGATAACATAATTTTTCAACAAAAATACACGAGACAAATAATTTATAACTCAAATTTATATTATTAAAAGAGTTGAAATATTCACTATCTAATTAGTTTAATAATTAATTATGTCATAAATCTATTAATATATAAGGATTTAATTTAAAATATTAAAAATTAATCAAGAACAAATTGAAATATTTAATTAAAAAATTAAAGATACAATTTAATCAAAATTGAGATAGTCTTACTTGACCCTAAAAAATATAATACTATACCTAGATTGATGGTTAAGACATTGTTATTTGTGTGTGTGTATATATATATATATATATAGATTGATGGTCTTTGTCCCTTTACACTAACTACTAAGATCATAGATATATATGCGTGTGTATATATATATATATATATTCACACAAGTTGTAATGATTATTGAAAGAGATCAACAAAAATAACTCACTATTCAATCATTTCTGATTCAAGATACATAAATGTAATACACATATACATATACATATACATATATATATATATATTATACACACAAACGTGCCACACAACTATTTTTCCTCTTTTACTACTCATGTGATGAAGTTAAATGATTTTACAGAGAACATCAGGAAGGAGACTTTCAAATAATCTACTCTCTTTCTCTCTGTCTCTAAGGCTGTGTTTGGGAGGAAGAAAATGGCAGGGAAGGAAAAAGGAGAGAGCAAGAGTTACTCCCTAATTACAACTAACTATTATTTTAAACAATGTACCAAATAAAAATAAGTTAACTAAGGAAACTAATAATCTACCGTGAGAATCGAATTATTCTAGTTCTCTCAATTACCCTCGTTCCCTTTCCTTCCCTTCCCCGATTTTGCTCGCCTCCGATACAAACCCTATCACATAAAGTCACCATTTTAAGATTAAAATTGGAAACAAAACTTTTCAAGGGGGAAAAGAAAAAAGGGTCATCTTTGTCACTTTGATATTTATATGTTCCATATACCTTTTGATGGAGAAGAGCTTGTTATCTTTACAACTTTTTGTTTTAATTGCTTTGTTTTTTCATTCACACGAGTGTCTTCACCTTTATCATCCGCCTTCGTTAAATCAACTTTTACTATGTGATGATCAGAAGTTCCTTTCGAAGAACATACTGAATAAGACCCCGGAATAAATTTATAGGGACAATTTGGAGATGTCAATATGTAATCTACTCGTGTTCCATACTTGCAAGTTCCTTGAACATCTGGGATCAAAAATAAAATGTTATTAGTTATAATTTTGAATGGAAATTGATTCTTGAAGAAAATAAATTCAGCAAAGCAAATTTTGTACTTTGGCCTTTGGCAATGACAACAACTGACTCGCATTCTCCAGCGAAATCCTTTGCGTCGATGTATTGGTTACTTTTCAAAAATCTCATCACTTCGACCTTTGGCATTGGCTTTCCCATCTCCTCATAGTACTAGACACGAAAATACATGGGTTAGATGCAGTTTAAGGCGAAAAATCATTAAAATAAATATATTTCGTTCCATACTTTTACAATGTCTGTCCATCTCTCATCAGAATAATCCGTTTCATCTAACGAGTTGAGGCCTCCTGCCAATATGTGAGGAACATCACTTGACTGAATTATGGCATTTATTTGTTTCATACGCCAATTTTCGTCTAAATGGTCGAGAAGTGTGCAATAGAAATCAACTTCTCCTATTTGAGGGATATCGATTGTGGACTTCAGAACATTTCTGGATGTAAAAAAAAAAATAATAATAATTATGGAAAATGAAAAATATTTTTATAAAATCTCATGTTTTTCTCTTATAAACTCGAATTTAACATGTTCATCATTTCTATTAAATTTTTTTTTAGGTATCGAAATTATAATATCGGACTACCAACAAGATTATCTCTAAAAGAAATTTCTTTATATTATACATGAAAATCAATGGAAGGAGTAAAAACACTTCGAAAGAGGATAAATTTTAACTATTGAGAAGTATTGTTATTACGAGAAACAACAAAAATAAATGAATAGACAAAAGACTTGAATAAAATTTGAGGGTTTCTTAAATTTTACCACAAAATGGTTAAAGACAAAATATTTCAACATATACATATAAAATTTTTACCTAAGAAATCTTACCCACTTTGAACAATTCCTACTTCTACCATTAATGGTTTTTCTTCTTGTTGAATTGTACAAGCCACAAAATTAAGGGTTAAAAAAAAATTGTCTTTTCCTCAAAAGTAATAATACCAACAATAATTTACTATTATTTTCCCCTACAAGAAAAAAAAAATTAAATATATAAGAAAAAAATTATTAAAAATTCATTATTTTTTATTTAAAAAAACCTGTAATACCCATAAATTGGATTTTTTTTTATAAAAAAAATACCAATTTATTTATGGATATTATTGATAATTTCAGTAATGGAAAATAATAAAAGACAAAACTTTTTTGACTTGGGTGATCTGGGAATTGGAAAAGCTGTCTCCTTTTCCATGAGAATCAAATGATAATGTAGAAAAATTTTCAGATGCCAATGGAGATTTTTCTATTCTCTGTATCTTCTGAAAACAGCTGTTATATGCAAAAAGTGTATGGTGGTGTTAGGTGCTCATGAATTATAAATAAATGAAATTACAAGATGGGTTAAATTTAATTCTTTTGTTGAGATAAATAGTGGGTAAAAATAATTGAAATTGAGTAATTACTGAAAGAAAGTTTGAATCTTTACTTGGGTTAAAAATATTAAGTAGATATATATATATGTTTAAAAAAAATATACTGGCTGGGGGGTAAAAAATAAAAACAAAAGAACAGGGAAAGCAGTAAAAATATTTCAAAGAGGACATAAGAAAAATGTAGAAAAAGAAGTGTCAATTAGGGATTTATTAGTAGAAAATTACAGTTTAGTCTACCAGCAACGCGGTGGGAGGTAAAAAGACAGGGGAAGCAGTAAAAAAAATAGTTTTCAGAAGAAAAAGACTGACCTGAAATCAGTTTCATCGAAGATCTTCTGAACTTTCCACCGGTTAATCGGCCACTTGGACAAGACGGCGTTGCCGTACTCCGGCGCCCAGCTCTCTGCAAATACATAATTCATCCCCAAAGCCGCCGCTAAATCAGACAGAGGCTTCATTGATTTCTCCTCCTCCGCTTTCACGTCCTGCAAAGCCAGTATATCAGCATCCAATTCCCTCAGCACCTCAACCACAGTTCTGCTGCTCCTGTACCTCTCTCTCAACTCATCTTGTTCCCTCAAAACTCTGCTCAGACCGCCATTAAAGGAGGATCCCTCCTTCTCGTCGAAGCTCTGTTGTCGATTTCTAAGCAGGGATATCTCATTATCCGGTAAATTTATCGATACCCTTAACTTGGATTTTGCAAAAATTTTTTGCCTCGATAAATTCTCCCCGGTACTCGGGTGCATCGGAGATTGCTTCAGTATGCTCTTCGGCCGGCCGTTTTGAGATTTCGCGCAGTCGAAGAACTGGATATCTTTCCCAAAATCTTCTCTTTCATAGACGAAACTGGAAGCTTCCTCTGCTTTCGGCACCGCCGGAGCCATGGAAAACAGGGCAGCATTAAAAGTTGCCAAACGTATTTTCTTCTCGGAATTCAGCCCCCCCGTGTAGTCATTCGGATGAACAGTTGCAGACCCATTAACGATCGGGTCGTTCTTGGAGGAAAGATGGGATTTTGCAGAGGCTTTTCCGAGTGGTTTGATGACGATTCTTGGCTTGGACCGGCGGCTAATCGACCACCGGAAACGAGAGCAGAGCCGCTGGAGTCTCTTGTTGAGGAGTCTGAGCATGGCGGCGAAGTGGTTGGTCGTCAAAACAGGAGCTTTTTTCCGCCGGCAATGGCGCGAGAGACGAAGTTGCAGATATGTTTGTCGAGAGAGAGAAGCTCTGTTTTTGTGAGCGTGAAAGTTGGGATTTTTATTTTTGATTTGAAATGAAAAGGATTAGTTTTAAAGTTGGTGTTTTTTTTTTTTTTTTTTTTTTTAATTAACGAGAGGTAAAAGAGTGAGTCCTTTCTGGGAAATGGGTTTCTGACACGTGGCGGCAAATTAAGCACTGATAAAGACTTCAATGGTTGTGAGTTCAACTGCTCCCAATGAGAGAGAGACTAACAAGGATCTGTTTGGCATACACGAAATAAATGGGGAAATATTAATTAGAAACTAAATAATTAATTAATGGGGAGATTAAGTTAATTAATTAAAATTTTTAAAGAAACAAAAAGGGATTATCTTAATTGGAACGCCACGTCACTGGAAAGCCGGCGCACATAACTCCCATGCAAATGCAATTGCGGAGTCCCCAAATCCGAGAGGAGATTCATGGCTCGTGCTTCTGCTCTCATCCATATCCAACTTCACTTCTTCTGGTCCCACAAACTCTCTTGTATGTATATATATATATATATATATATGTCTATGATTAAGACTAATTTATGAATATAATGTCACAATTAAAAAGGCTAATCTAGATTAAATAAAGTAATTAACAAATAAATATTATTAGAGCTATTTTTTTAGTTTAGCTTTTTCTTGCTTTAATGGTAGATTTAATAGCAGGCGGATCAAACTAATAGTAAGCTAATTATAACCTACTCGGTTTTATGATTAATATAAAAGCTTTTTGAGTGGTTTTCTTTTTAATTTATTCGGTTTATACACACACATATACATACATATATATATATATATATCTTAGCTATTAAGAAACAAATATTTTATCAAATATAACAATTCCAGAAATTGGGTACACAAATCAATAATTTATTTTATAATTTTGTCAGTGAAATTATATTAATTAAATTTCTATGAATTTATTAAGTTTTTGGGTATAAATATTATTTTGTGATGATTATAATCTATTAGTTGAGATAATAATTAATGGGTTAAAAATAATAATAACTAAAAAATATATAAATTTTTTATTTATAATTCATAATTTATTGTTAACTTATATACACATATATAACAAATATTCTTTAATGAAATGTAAAATTGTGTTGTATATTTAACATAGTACTTATATTTGGTTTCATTTATATATTGTTATTTTTTTTAATTATTATTTATTACCATATTGATTATTACCAATCAATTATTTAATATCGTACAAATTGTTGTGACAATTAATGGTCAATATTTTAATAATTAATAATTTTTTAAAAAATAAAATATACCCAAATTAATGATAATAAATTATAAATTATGTACGATACATGAATTTAATTTTGATAATTAACAAATAAATATTTTAATAATCAAAATTAGGTGAATTATTTGAGTAATTATATCATTATAAGTGAGTGTTAGCTGGATTTGGTGTATAAAAAATTAGGGAAGATGCCAAATGGATGGGGTTAGCATATAATTGAATAATTAATTTAATTTAATTTGTTAAACATGATTAATTAATTTAATTAACAACCAATTAAAGTCACAGGCTGTTTGCCCACTCTCCAGCATGTATTTGCTTGTGGTATCACTAAAAAAACAATTATACATTCTTCCCCTTTTTTTTTGAGTGTTTGGAATTATTTTATGACTTTAAATTTTAAAATATTTTTATAATTAAAATTAATAAAATTATAATGTGTGATTTTTTAAAAATAAATTTAATTTTTATTAAATAAGTAATACTTGATATTTCTAAATTTAATTTACTAAATATATAATATTTACATTTTAAAAGTCATAATATTTTTTACAATTATTTCTACTAAACACCAAATCACTTTTGATAATTATTTTAACGACATTTTAAAAAAATTCATAATACAAATTACAGTAGTAATCGTGTGTAAACGCTCGTTTAATCTCTATTTTTTAAAATTAGTGTCTAATTAAGAATATAATTAAAATAGGATGAGATATAAATATATATATATATATATTTATATATTTTTCAATTAAAAAAAATAAATTTATAATGGTCCTTGGCTATTATTATGTGGGGAAACAACATGATATAATTATTAGATTAATTAATAATGAATTATTCTTGCATATTCCTCCAACCAAACAAGCCTTTAATGATGGGGTCATAGAGACAGAGAGGAGGAAATAAGAACCTCATTAATAGAAAACACACAACTCAATTCAAGCCCACCAAAAAAACAAGAGAGGGCCCAATTAGTACATAAAACAAATGTGAGCCATTTATGTTCAAATTTTAAATTTCAATTTTTGAAAATTAACTTGTCAAAATTTACTTACACACACACACACATGAATATATATATATATATGTGTGTGTGTATGTATAGATATATGAATTTAATAATTGATATCCCATTCACTTACATCAATTTTGGAACAAAAAAATGATTTTTGAATACAGTGGTTAGGTGAATTGGAAGCCATAAATATATAAATGGACAAAAATATCTATATTATTTAAAATATTTAAATTAATTATTATACAAATTTTTTAACAAGTTTAGTATATATATATATATATATATTTTTTAAAAAAAAATTATGATTTAATTTATAATTATTAATGCACACTAACATTGATTGTTAATGAAAGTATTTTCCGAATTTAAATTAAACACATATTATATTTTTTTTAATTAAATCAATATTTATACCATATGTTATTACGAATAATAACGTTAACTAATTTAAGATATGGTTGTTTGTTATTATTTTTTTATTAGATATCACATTATGAAACACGTAACATTTAATATAAATATCAATCGAATCAAAATATAATACATATAATATTTAAATATACGAGGCCCTGTTATAAACACATATATATATATATGTAACAATTAATTTAAATATTTAAAATAGAAAAGAAATTAATTTAATAATTTAGTTTCATATAAATATATGAAAATAAAAGCAAAATATTGAATTATATAAAATGAAATATATAATTATGTCAATTTTGAATGT